GGGGGGGGAATGGAATCCACTGTGCCCTCAGGGCCCCCGTTCACGCTCCGGCCTCCCTCCACCCCAGCAGGCCAGCCACTTCCTACCTCAGTGGGGCTCCCGGGCCCTGCTGGTTTGAGAGTCCCTGATGTGTGGAAGGTGACCCTCTCTCTGCCCCCCATTCCCATCCTATTCCCCAGACGTGAGCTTCCCTGGCCACCACTCCTGGGCCTCGGTCTCAACCTCCCACATGCCTCCTCAGCTGGTCCAGAGCATCGAGGACCCCCTGGGGGTCCTGGTCTCCTCGATCCCAGCAAAGGCGCATATCCAGGCCCACACCCCCAGTGCCTGGCAGGCACCGCGAAGCCCAGGTTGAGACACCTCCTGGTCAGTCAGAATCGGCTCCCTGTCTCTGCCCTCCATAGGGACTCACAGTGCCCACAGAAGGATGCTTGAGTCTCCTGCATGGACCCCTGAGCCCCTGGACCATGAGCCCCCAACTACCGTTTCCTCAGGAGAAGGGGGAAAGATGGGATTACCTTTCTTGGAGGAACCAGATCTGAGCACCCGGATGAAGGGGAAGTCGCCGGCGTGGGAGATGGTGTGGTGGGTGGGCAGTTACTGCTGGTGTTCTTGACCACGTGGCAGTCCTGCGAGCACTGGGAGTAAAAACAGTGCCCATCCAGATCTGTCTTCTGGTAGATGATGGATCCTGCAAGACAAGGACCATGCTGGTGGTTCAGGGCTAGCTCAGGGAGCCACCCACTGGAGGAGCACTGCAACCTCTCCTGTCCACCAGGTGCATCCTCCCTGGGGACAGCAACCCGGAGGGGGACTCTTGTCACCCTCTGATGGTGGTAGTGGGAATGAAGTCGCAAACAGGGAAGTGGCAAGCAGGGCAGAGAGCTGCTACTCTTGAATACAACCCAGCGCCTGCTACAAGAGGAGTAAGGACCAGCTTCTATCCCCTTCAGATCTGGCTTCCTCTGACGGGACACTCACACCAGGCTTAGCATACACCAAACACGCAAACAGAGCTGCTACCTACCAGCAGGGTAGAACTTCTTATCCACGACACAGTAGCACACCGTGGTGGAGTTTGTCACAGGGCTGAGCGATGTCCTGGTAGAAG